GCTTCAACTTGTATTCTATAAAAATTAGTTTTATAATGTAATTTACTAATTTAAAAAGGAAAAAAAGGAAAAGGAAAAGCCATGTCATCATGCCTGCATTCTTTAATATGGAAAAAGGCTTGTGAACTTGTAGTCAGCAAGGTTAAGTACGTATCAACCTGTGAAATGTTATATATATAATTTATAAGCAAAAAAAAATTAAATTTTTTAAATGAACGAAAATTTAAAACTACATCAGATAATGTACATAAGCATATAAAATGCCATGGAGTTGTATCTTGGCAAACATATTGGTGAAAAAGATTCAGATGTCCTGCAAATATAATAATATATGAATATTCAATACCAAATAATTATATAAATAATAAAATTTTCCATTAATATTATAAAAAAAGGCACTTGCCTAAAGGATTCTGATGACATGACAAAGTTGGAAAGAAGCAACATGTCATCAGGATGAAGTGATGCTTTCTGCAAGACTACCAGACTGATAACCTGAAATTTAGCTCTAATTTTTAAGCATTATATACTTATATACGACAAAATGAATAAAAAAAATGTAATAATTATTAAATTAAGAAGAGGGTTGGGTGAAAAACCTTGTTTTTACACATTAATATTGCAAAAAGGACACCTGTATCAGCAACATCTTGCAAAATGGCACAAGTACTTTCCCTTGTGGTGTAAGCAAGTGGAAGACAATTGACCATCTTCCTTTTTTTGTACTAATTGCATCTTTTAATACACCAAAACCTGCAACAAAGGAAAAAATGGAACACTTAAAGGAAATAGAAATATTTAACCAATTGTTGACCAGATACACAATAACAACTTCATTTATGGTTTTTAGTTTAACAGGTTAATAGAAATATTTAACCAAAATGAAAATGAATATGAAATAAAATTCACAAAATCAGTCTCACCTTCAACCCTATTCAGCTGGCCGGGCAACCGTTGCCTGCTGCACAACATACAAACCCAAAATTATCTGCATTTCCAATTATACCCTCTACATACTTTTATGTTGAATGCAATACCCACCTTTCACTGCTCCATACAAACCATTAAACATTTTCAAAAAAAAAAAAAAAAACTACATAAGTTCTATAAAAACCACTTGGAAGAAGAAGAAGAAGAAATTCTGATTTAACCATCAAAACGTTGTCATGTAAAAAAACCATGCTCTATTGAGGTGTTCTCTGGAATATCTGTTCACATAAAATGCCTTCACCCATGAAAAATAAAAAAATGTTGTTATTTTTACATTTTAATGCATTAAATTGATATGTAACAAACAAAAGTTTGCAATAATAAACGTATATGTTTCTAAACCAATTCAACGATGCTAGGTTGAGGTATCCGTGCTTTCTAATTTTTAAACCTGTTTACTCGAAAACTGAAACCTTTTTCATTTTTTGTCCTATTTCAAGGTTTCATGTCCTTTTGTTCAATTTGTACTTTCTGTTTTAAAACCATGAAATAAGGACCAAATCTGAAAAATATTTCAATTTGGAAATAAAGATATTATTATTGCCAATAACCATGAAGAGTGAAACTCGAAATTGTTATAAAGGAATCCTTACCTCAATAATCATTTCCTTTCGATGGAAGAGTTTTATTTAAACAGATTAATCAACATGACTTCACAGAGGAAAAATACATGACAAAACATTAGGAAGAACTAATTAACCGTTTGTCTGGTTGAGAGATATATGATTACCATTGAAAACAAAAAAAATGAAACTATTTTTTTTCAATTCGCCTACGAATGATGCAACCTGAAGAAAGAAGTTATAGTGAACATCATAATAGGTTATATGAAATGATATCAAACAAAGATTTGGAATGTGAAGAAATTGACACCAATTCCTACAATTTTAGAAAGTTTTTGACTTTTTTTTTTCAATTTGCCTCAGAATAGATGCAGTAGCGATGACTGCATAAACAACAGAAACCATTAGCAGCTGCATTTACTTGGGCATTTCGACAACCAGTTGCCATGCTTATCTATGTATTAGAACAAACAAATAAGAAAATAAGTAACAGAATTGAAGGATACCTTCAAACAGAATCCGAAGAGGCCAATCAAAACCCATAATTGTAACTTTTTCATCAGCATCAGTCCATCACAAATTTTTGGGATTCCCATGGAAAATACCAAATATTGATGGTAAAGAAACTATTGAAACATTTAAAATTCAGAGGAATCTTATCCATTTTGCTCTCTTTGAAACTGAAACTCTCAAACTGGAGTGGGTAGAATTTAAACCCTCAACTATTTCAAGAAAAATGTAGGAACTATATAATCTTTTGTAGCTAACTGTTGTTGAAGTGTCACCATGGTTGGTTTGACTTAAGTCTAACTTTACACATAATCTAATTTGTCTCCTTTCATGGTCTCTTCAATTTCTTATTAAGATGTCCATGTGAAGATAAGCCACAGCAGCAACAAACAAAAAGAAAAACACAGATGTCAATATCAATGGCTCTGCAAGCATGGAAATCTGTTGAAAGTCACAATAAACCTGCAAAAACAACCAACCAAGAAAATGTTAATGGACATTGAAAATTAGTAAAAGAATATAAAAAGTGGAAGATTATCGAAATCAGTAAAAACATTATTAAGTTCATGCTGAATCGATTCATTCTTTTTTACCATATCCCTTCAATTCATCATTTTACATATACTCATCTTTAACTTTAGATTTAGCTGTGTACCTTGCTATTCACCCACAACTGATCTTCAAAGAAGCCAGTGCACGAAGCCCGAACCAGCGGAGAAGGTCACTCTATAGTTGACAAAGGCTCTTCTAAACGATGGTGAGAGAGTAAAGCAAGGAGACGGTGGACATCTGTAAGCAGCGTCAATCGATTTGTGAAAGAGTAAAGCAAGGAGACGGTGGTGATCGGAAATAGCGGTGAATAGAGGAAAGAAGGAGTCCGCAGCCTGAATCCGGTGGAGAAACGTAAGAAGGGTGAGCCGGTGGAGACGATCGATCGATTGTGGGATGTTATTGCCCGAGAAATCCATCGGAAGCCACACAGCAACCCTAAACGAACAGATAGGTGCTCGATAATCATCAAACCAGAAAGAATTATGTATACCAGCAAGTTCCCAGGGCTCAGATTTGTAGATATCAACTTCCGGCACCATCTGAGACTGAAAGGGCTTCCCACAAACCTTACGCCTCAGGTAACACCTCACAAGCTCCTCGTCAGTGGGGTGAAATCGGAATCCGGGAGCAACAAAAGTAGGCGGCAGCGGTGGGGGCGGTGGCGCGACGATCATGGATTCACGACCCGTCTCCATCGAACCGAAATTGAATCTTTAGGGATTGATGGAAAACGATTACAAGACAACGTCTAGAAAATATTAAGGCGGTCGGAAAGATAATCCTGACCCAAATAAAGATAACCCTTACCCAAATTTTAAGGCGGCATAAGCTTTTAAAACACAAACCGTACGTGGCCAAAGTAGGAAGGGAAAGAAAAAAAGGCACAAATAAGAAAAGCAAAAGTTTCCTGTTCACCATCATTTTAGCAATTAAGGGGTGTTTGGCTTATCTTTTTGGGAGGCAAAAGTTCTTTTGGCAAAAGTTACAAAAAAAATCAGGATTTCCTGACTTTTCTAAAAAGTCACTTTTCCTTATATCCAAAATCCAAAAAGAGCTTTATGTTTTTCCCAAACATCTTTTGCATTCTATCTTTTCCAAAAAGAACTTTTAGCCCCTCAAAAGATAAGCCAAACACCCATAATAGTGTATATAATTTCTTTTGGGTGGTTAGTTTTTAATCAATAACACCTCGATTAACTTTATTTTATAATGCGAGCTTGCCCTTCAAAAAAAAAAAAGATTAGATTCTCCGATTCAAATTCCAATACACAAACAATATATTATTAGCAAATAACTGAAATATTTCTCGCACCTTTATTTCGTTTTTATTTATTGAAAGCGTAAAAAGGTATGAGGTTAACGATTGTTGGCAAGAGGTTTTTTTTTATTAATTTTTTTTAATTTTCTACCTAAATATAAACCATATATGTCAATTCTTTTTCTATACATGACATTACAATACGGATAATATAAACTTTAGTTTATAAGTTTCCAATTAAATATCTATTTATGTGTATCTATGGCAAAAGCATGTATTAATTATGTTTATGGCATATTGGTTTGGGTAGGATATTTTTCAGAAAAATTATATATTATTTAAATTTAAATGAATATGTAACATGTTTAATAGATATTATATATTATAATAAAAAAACGTATCGGATGAAAACTCTAATACAGATGCATTAACTCATAATCTATAGAGCTTTTATTGTTATTATTTAAAAGAAATTTAAGAAAATAAATGTTTCTATTATTTTTTCCAAGAACGTATAAACTTTTCAATTTAAAGTGATTATTCTCAAGTTTTAATTTATAAAAGAAATTCAGAAAATGTATATGTCGAAGACTAAAATAAAAATACTGTTATATTTTTTTAAGCTAACTTTACTCTCAACTTACCAAAAGAAAGACTTACTTTCCAACAAAAATATCTCGTATTTATTTGAACGGAAAAAATATCTCTTGTTAGTTGTTTAGAAAAATAAAATAAACATTAAAGTCGGATGCTTAGTATGTAGCTATTATAATTTATATGTAAACCAAACCTTATAACCTATAATTCCTATTATCTCTTTTATAAATTAAAACTTGAGAATGATCATTTTAAATTGAAAAGTGAACTTTTCACTGTTTAAGGATACAGAACAATTATTACTATTCGTTATCACTATTGAAGGGTTCAAAACAATTTTTTATGTTCAGCTTTTTCACATCTTCACTATTTTTTATGTTCAGCTTTTTCACATCGATAAGATAAATTGCATATACAACGTAAAATTGAATAAGTAGTATGAAAAATGTATATATATTTGTTTGATTCATTTGTTCATTAATTGTTCAAATAATTATTAGATAATTAATAAAATATGAAATAATCATTGT